ATAATAATAATAATAATAATAATAATAATAATAATAATAATAGTAGTAGTAGAAGTAATAAAAATAATAACAACACTAATACTACTACTATTAATAATAATAATAACAATAAAAACATCAAACAATGAAAACAAGAACAAAATAACAATAACAAAAGCAATGATGATGTTATCAGCATACGTCAACAACAACAAACAAAAAGTAACGACTCTCACCCTCTGCAACCCTCAACGAAACACCACGAAACAAAAAACAGAAAGAAACGAAAAGAAACAAAAGCCAAAGAAGAGAAGAGACACAGGCCAAGGAAGGGCGTTGCAATAGAGACGAAAGAGAAAGACAATAACAAAAACAGAAAAAGAACAGAAAAAAACGAAAAGAGAAACAAAAACAAAAAAGAAGAGAAGAGACACAGAAAGACACGTAGAGAAACAAAAACAAAAGAAGAGAAGAAACAGAAAGAAACAAAGAGAAACAAAAACAAAAGAAGAGAAGAGACAGAAAGAAACGAAGAGAGAAACAAAAGCAACAGAGAAGACACAGGCCAAGGAAAGGGCGTTGCAATAGAGACGAAAGAGAAAGACAATAACAAAACACAGAGAGAAACAAAAGCAAAGAGAAGACAATAGAAAAAAAAACAGAAAGAAACGAAGCGAAAGAGAAAAAAAACATAAGAGAAGAGACACAGGCCAAGGAAGGGCGTTACAACAGAGACGAAAGAACAAGAGAGAGAAACAAAAGCAAAAGAGAAGACAATAACAAAAACAGAAAGAAACGAAGAGAAACAAAAGCAAAAACAAAAACGAAGAGAGAGAAAAAAAAGGAAGAGAAGAGAAACAGGCCAAGGAAGGGCGTTACAAGAGAGACGAAAGAAAAAAGACAGTAACAAAAACAAAATCAAAAGAGAAGACAATAACAAAAACAGAAAAGAAACGAAGAGAAACAAAACAAAAAAGAGACACAGAAAGAAACGAAGAGAAACAAAAACAAAAGAAGAAAAGAGACACAGAAAGAAACGGAGAGAAACAAAAGCCAAAGAGAAGAGACACAGGCCAAGGAAGGGCGTTACAACAGAGACGAAAGAGAAAGACAATAACAAAAACAGAAAAGAACAGAAAAAAACGAAGAGAAACAAAAACAAAAGAAAAGAAGAGACAGAGAAAAAAGAAACGAAAGAAACAAAAACAAAGAAAAAAAGACAGAAAGACACGAAGAGAAACAAAAACAAAAAACAAAACAAAAAAGAGACAGAAAGAAACGAAGAGAGAGAGAAACAAAAGCCAAAGAAGAGAAGAGACACAGGCCAAGGAAGGGCGTTACAACAGAGACGAAAGAAAAAGACAATAACAAAAACAAAAGCAAAAGAGAAGACAATAACAACAGAAAGAAACGAAGAGAGAAAGAAACAAAAGCCAAAGAAGAGAAGAGACACAGGCCAAGGAAGGGCGTTGCAACAGGACGAAAGAGAAACACAATGACAAAAAAGGAAAAGAACAGAAAAAACGAAAAAAAAAAAAAGAGAAGAGACACAGAAAAGAAACGAAGAAACAAAAACCAAAAGAAGAGAAGAGACACAGGCCAAGGAAGGGCGTTACAACAGAGACGAAGTAAAAAGACAACAATAACACTGCAATTTGAGACACGATTCACCGGCCGCTCCAACACCACGAGTCGTCGTCTCATTCGGGGCTTAAACCGGCGTGTTTCGTGGGTTTCGTTCGGGGATTCTCTCGCGCTTTCTCTCTTTATTATTTATCTGTTTCTTTCGTTCTTTCTTTCATTCATTATCTGTTTCTTTCTTTCTTTCATTATCTGTTTTTTTTTTTTTTTTTTTTTTTTTTTTTTTTTTTTTTTTTTTTTGCTTTCTCGATGTTTTTTTATTAATTTCTTTCTTTTTTTTTTTGGCTTTCTTGATTTTTTTTATTCATTTCTTTCTTTTTTTTTTTGCTTTCTCTATTTTGTTTAATTCCCTTCTTTTTATCTGTTTTCCTTTCTCTCTCTCTTTCTTTCTTTCATTCATTCTCTTGTTCCATATATACATAATGCTTATTTTCCTTTATTTATCTTTCTTTCTTTGCTTTCTTTCTTTACTTTTTCATTATTTCTTTCTACCTTTTTCCTTCCTTTCTCTTTCTTTCTTCCTTTTATCTCTTTCCCTATTCTTACTCTCCTTCCTTCTTTTCTTCGTTTTATCTCTCTTCCTTATTTATTACTCGCCTTCCTTCTATCTTTCTCTCGCTATTCCTTTCCCTCTTTTACTCGTGTCAAAAAACGTTTGAACCTAAACAGTATCTGCCAATCATTTCAATTATAACAATAATAATAACAATAATAAAGAGTAAACAATAACACGAGAGCAATAACAATAGTGTTAATAATAATAACGTAAAAACAAGCATTAAATTGTTATTGATTATGATACAACGAAAAAAAGATACCTGAAAGATAAAGAAAAGATACTTGAAAGATAAAGAAAAGATACGTGAAAGATAAAGAAAAGATACTTGAAAGATAAAGGTGAGACTGATAACAATGTCAATGATAACGTTATCTATAATGACAGAGATGATGATGATGATAACTACACTGATAAAGGCCATGATAACGACAAGTTACAATGTACATGATACTTACTTTCCTCCCCCCACCCCCACCCCCCACCCCCACCCCTAAAAAAAAAAAAGAGAAAAAAAAAAGCTACGTGAATTTTTTAGTATCGAAATTTCTGAACAGGGGGTTTATAGGCCTATGCACACGCTCCTGCTTTTTTTTCCATTGTTTACAGTCAACACACGGACTCGTTCTAATACCATTTCACCGAGTATTTTTTTTTATCATGTAAACAACAGGGGAAAAAAATCGACTTTCAAAAATACCAAATGGAAATGTGTGTGAAACGTTTCGTAGGCAAAACAAACCTGGAAATTGAAAAAAAACGGTAAAAAAAACGTTGACTTTTTAATACTTTTGTTTGTGAAAAAAATAAAGTCTTTCATAATAGTATTTTTTTTCTCTAGAATACTGAATCCAAGTCTGCTTTTGTGGCGAGAGAATAGTGCTATAGAGATACAGGGAAAGGGAGAGAGAGAGAAAGGGAAGAAGAGAGGATGAGAGAGGGATGGAGAAAGAGGACGAGAGTGGAAAGGTGAGAGAGGAGAGAGAGAGAGAGAGAGAGAGAGAGAGAGAGAGAGAGAGAGAGAGAGAGGAGAGAGAGAGAGAGAGAGAGAGCGAGAGAGCGAGCGAAGCGAGCGAGCGAGCGAGAGAGCGAGAGAGAGAGAGAGAGAGAGAGAGAGAGAGAGAGAGAGAGAGAGAGAGAGAGAGAGAGAGAGAGAGAGAGAGCACAAACAACCCAGAAGCAACGAGACACAAACAAGAGGTAGGGATCCCAAACCATCACAACATACCCCTTCAAACAACATACCCACTGCAACATAATCTTCACACAACATACCCACTACAATATACCCTCAAAACAACAGTCCTCCCCCAACATTATCTACAACAAACATACTCCCCAAAACATACCCACAACAATATATTCCCCAAAACATACCCCCTCGACATACCCATCAACAACATACTCCCCAAAACATAGTCACAACATACTCCCCTAAACATACCCCCTCGACATACCCATCAACATATCCAAAACAATATACTCCCCAAAACATACCCATCAAACATATCCAAAACAATATACTCCCCAAAACATACCCCCTCGACATACCCACACCCACTCGCTACACCACAAAGTGTGCGATCTGCGGTGCCTCTCCCTTAAGACCTCCCCCCCCGCCCAACGTCGCCCACATCTGCCTATGACCCCCCCTCCGCCCCCCCACTGTCCTTCATCCCCCACCTAACTCCACCAACCTTATTAGAAAGGGGAAAAGAAAGAGAAGAAGAAATAGGGAAAAGAGGGGAAGAGGAAAGAAAAGAGGAAAAGAAAGAGAAGAAGAAGAGGGAAAGAGGGAAAGAGGAAGAAGAAGAGGGAAAAGAGGGAAGAGGAAGAAGAAGAGGGAAAGAAAAGAAGAAGAAGAGGGAAAAGAGGGGAAGAGAATGAGGAAGAAGGAGACGGGAGAATGAGGAGGGAGGGAGAGAGAGAGAAAGGGAG